TTATTTCCATAAACACAATAATATTCCGTTTTTATTAGTCTAACTTTCTGTTCTGTACAGACATTTAGTCGAGCAAAATAACCTAAAACATGACTTGTCTGATCAGAAACAGCTGGTTTGGTTCTTTTGTATTCAGGTGAAAGATTTGATTACAACACATTACTGATTAAAAGTCTTAAAGGTCTTGATTCTGGGATGTGCAGATGGGATAGTCCAAACTGCAACAAACTACCCAACTTCTGTAGATTTATAGTGGAAAAACAACTCAGTCCTCAAGACACAAGTTGCTGTTCAAGGATGGTAAAAGACCTGGTTTTCTTCACAACTTCTTAGAAATCAACAAATACAGCAAAATGGTAGAAATGGACTGAACGTGCAGTGTTTAGTACGGGTGGGAATCCTTCACTATCTCATGATTCACTTTGATTAGAGTGAGATTTTTGGGAACACAAGATTCAAAATGGATTTTTCATTAAAACCTGATAATGTSAGCCCATTTGTTGTGCTTCATCTTCATTTTGCAAAACTTGCACCAAGTGATGTTCATGTCAAACTCAGACTCGTTCRGTAAAACCAAAAGGAACCCAAACCTTTGGCTTCAACAAAGACAGGGCCGCTTSAATCTCTGTTTCCTTAGTTTTTGTAGTTTCCTCTTTAATTTTGTGCTTTCTGCACATGTAAATGTTCCAGATGACGTTGGTATGTCCCACGTAGTTACAAACCAGAGGCTGACGTTCATTGCCTTTGCCTTTTTATAATTTAAAATCGATTTTGGGACATTTTAAATCGATCCTGAATCTTTGTAAATGAGTATCATGATTGTGGTGTAAATCAATTTTTTGGTACAGCCCGAGAGTATAGTGCTTTTTCAACTCTCTATGGACTCCAAAGAGCTTCACACTACAGTCATTTATCCATTTATTCATGTATTCATATTCAAATTCATCCATTCATACTCACACTCACCTATTCATACACACATTCATCCATTCATACACACATTCATCCATTCATACACTGATGGTGGTAAGCTACATTGTAGCCCCAGCTGCCCAGGTGCCCACTGAAAGAGGTGGGGCTGCCACCGGACCTTCTGATCACCAGCAGACAAGGCAGGTGAAGTATTTTGCACAAGGACACAACGACTGGGATGGATGGAACAGGAATCAAACCGGCAACCCACCAGTTACAGGACAACTCWCCTAACCAATTAAGTTATTTTGTTAATATAGCACCAAGTCACCACAAATATTGTCTCAAGTCCACTGTCTGACAGGACAAGAATGGACACAAGTCCACTGTCTGACAGGACAAGAATGGACACAAGTCCACTGTCTGACAGGACAAGAA